GTAAGGGAGGGCGATAGACAACCAACAAGGCAAATCCAATAAGTGATCCAAACGAGCGAAAATTGGCGTGAGATCAGGAGCGAAAAAGTCGGAAATGATGGAGGATATCGAGTTGGTCCAAGAATAGGAGTGGCCCGTGTTTACTGTTCCACCAACGTCTCAATAATAATAATAAGATGGCCAGCTCACGATTGGATAAAGGATCGCAAAGAATTAGAATATTAACGAATGACTGGAGGTAATTTAATCCAAATTAAGATTAAGACATCAGAGCAATGAACGATAGAGATTCGTGAGTCTTGGACTTTCAGGCTCAGGAGCCCCTGGAGTGCACCTGAAGTGGGAAAAGACGGCTAAAAGTAACAATCCTCCAGCCGCCCACTGGGAACAACAACGGACAATAAGCACAAGGAGGAATAGGGCACGCGTTGCGATATTATAATAATAATTATGACAGCAAAAGAAGGACGGTGGATTGCCCCGACCACCTGCAGAGCAACTTTTTGATACTAGATAGTAATTATCTATCTCTTGTTGACCTGCCATCTACATGATCCGCAGCCAACAAACGGGCCGCCGCAAAGTTATTCCGAAATGAAGGACCCACTAGCTAATGATCATCAGCAGTCACCACGTTCTCCACCACTAGCAGAGATTACATGCAAGGGAGGCATGAATTATGATATTGAACTCATCTGGTGGCTAGAAGCAAAGGGCAGCGACACACTCACATGCTGTGATAGATCATATCGCGTCTCAATGCAGCAGTTCGCTATATTCTAAGCTCCCTTGCCGGATTGGACTGCTTTCCAGCCTTTCTTTTTGTCTCGGGGTGCCTTAGGAATAAAGCTTACAGCAGCGGTTTCCCTGGTAGAGAATGAGGAATGTACGAAGTGATGTTTGTGATATTGCCATATCATTTTGATCAGTCACCAAATGCTAGAAATGGCCAAAAATGCTCCCCCATGCATCCATTGGGTATTTGTTCGTTGAATAGAAGAATAAACGCCAACCAAACCATAACTCCATCGCTTCAAGATCAGGAAGGATTGATCAACCATCAAATAAGTCAGTGCCCATCGGCCAGATGCTATGACAGAGTCAGCACGAACTGTTCTCCCCTCTAGGATGGCTATCCAAGAGAAATACTTACCGACCACTCCGGAATGTTGCGAATCTGCTGCCACATAAACTTTTCCAATTTATTCGCGCTCTTCGCATATGGTGTAGTCTCATTGTTGTATTTCCGGCAATTGTCAAATATCAACATGGCGTCTTTGATGAAATCTTGCGGGGTCGGGTACATGTCCTTCTCATGCTTCTCTTCCATCGTCGATAAGTCCATTGGCTCTTTGATGACTTCGTAGTAATCAGGAACTTCATCGCGGTTGACAGGCTGAGTGAACGGCCACGCAGCACTGTGGTTCTGCATGTCGTTGAGCAAGTGCAGGAGCTGATTATAATTCGGCCCATGGCGCGGCTGCCGCGCCAATTCATCCATATCTGGTGACCATCCGGATTCCTTAATGGCTGGAATACTCAGAGGATCGATCTTGCAAGCTCCGTTCTTCCATTCCCTTGGCGGAGGGTGGATAATATGCGAACGGCTGAAAGCCCTGATTTTCGCTTGCACTGCTTCCTTCTGCTTCAGAAGCATGCGACCTGCTTCCAAATATCGGATCTTGGGGAGCATGGTACATTGCATGATGGTTCCTCCCTCGTAATCCTTGATATAACCCATCCATATAGCCTTGTCGAGCGTGATTTCCTTGGTGAATCCCTGCTTCTTGAAATAACCAATCGCATAGTTGTCCGCATAAGTCAGGAAATGCATAATGGGCGAGGTCGCTTTCACATAATCCTGCTCTTACAGTTAGCTACCACTCCAGATGTGGCTTTAAATCCTAGCCATACCTTCAAATGAGACATCAAATGCGCACCGTAACCCTTGACTTGCTGGTCGGAAGATATGGCACAGAAGACGATTTCCGCGAATTTGCGGCTATTGAACGGCCGGTAGGTGATTCCTCTAGACAACAATTGGTGAGCTCTTCAAGAAACTAACCAAGCCATTTCTCTCACACATACCCTACAACCTCTAACGGGTGCTTTACAATGGCGATAGACAAATGCGAACGGTCATAGACAAGTCGTGCGATGTAATCCTTGGGCATCTTCGGAAGTTGCTTCTGAAAGATGCACTTCAACCCGGTGAGAACGACGAAACTATCCCGCGAGCCATCATTATTGACCACTCGAAACTCGATTTCACCTCGTCGTTCTTCTAAGACAGCGGGCTATTGTGGGGGATCAACATCAGCCTCCGCGTCGAATCAACATCCACTGGTGAAACTTACCTTTTCCGGGAAGGGAACGATCCTCAGCGGTAGCTTTCCAAAAGGTTCATCTTCGGTCTACAAACAAACACTGTCAGAAGGGCAACCGGAACGAGTTCAAAGTGAAGACAAACCTTCGGCTCTCTTTCAGGAGAGTCAGTGCGCGCCTTTTTAATCTGTTTCTGGGAATCCGGGGAAGCCGCATCTTCCGAAGCTTTCCGCTTGGAACCTGTATCTATGGTCAATCAAGTCTGAAAACCACAGAAACCAGCACACCCGGCTCGCGGACTCACTCTCTGATGTAAGTGCCGGCATATTGTGCTCGAGATTTCTGTTATAAACTGTCGTCTTCAACAGCCTGTACCCAAGCGACGCCGAAATGCGGTCTCCGCGTTATAGGCGGAGACGAGGGAGGGCCTAGGATCGGGACTATGTTGATCCGAGATTGATTGGGCCAGATCAACCATAAGCTACTTAGGCCTGACGCGTTGCTCCTATCTAGAAACTCTGCGATGGCGGAGTAATGTAGACTAGCTGTTCTTTTCCATTACAGACATCAATTGCTGTACAAGCTGTCTGATAATTTGATTTTTGTTCGATTTCAAGTCTAGCCAGCTTATCCTCATGTCTCTGAACGAAGTCTGGGAGGCAGCCTCCGCAAGCCCTTATTCTCCCCTGATATCGAAAGATCACCAGTTCTTCCTTGGCTTCAGTCTGCTGCTGAGTGGTAAGAGGTGTGGTGGCCTCCATCAAGTTGACAGAACTAACTGGCACTCTAGCATTGGTCCTTACTGGTCTTTTCGGTCTGAGTATGTCTCGTTCTGCGCATCCAAGTCAAACTGGGTTATAGCTCACCATTGCTCGCCAAATAGATCGCTCCTTCTTGAGCATCGCAACATTCGGGGTTCCGGCGTCATTGGCATTCGGGTAAGCTGCGACAGTTTCTGATTTGGAGCTGTGCCCGTCGCTCATATTACACTTCTACAGATTCGGTGCCGTATACATGATCTGCGCCGCTGGTGTCTACGTTTGAGTGACTCGCATCCCGATTCTTTCTATGTACTATAAATCGGAAAGTTGAAAGACAAAAGACGTGTAACAGGGCGGGAGCTGTCTTACTAGACACGCCTTTACAAGCCCATCAGCCTATTCCATAATCAATCTTTCCGAGCTCATTGTTCTATGCGTTTCCCTGGCTATCTGTACAGACAAGAGTCCTAGAGCCATGGCAAATACCGGCCCCATCTTTTCAGCCGTCTCCAGCAACGCTCACCAGCTCTATACTCTGCTGCAATGCATTGGATTCGTTCCAAAAGCCACCGTGCAAATAACTCCAGACGGAATCCAGTTTTCGGCAGAGGAGACCAGAGTGATACAAGGACTTGCCTTTCTCGACAAAGCGCTCTTCACCAGTTATACCTTCAATCCCCCGACGACCCCAAGCAATGAGGCCAACAACACAGACCACCATGACGACACTGCAGAGACCGCATACTACCCATGTTTCGTGGTCTCACTGTCTGCCCTCTTGGAAACGCTGAAAATCTTTGACATTAATGATGCTTCATCGAAAAGCTTCAGCAGAGCAGTCAGCGTCCAACCGCCCAACCCTTCAGCATCAAGCGCATTCACATCCCCCGCACTCCTCCTCGACCGTTCCTGCACAATCCAGTACTCGCACGAAGGCGCTCCGCTGAGCATCACCCTCTCCGAAACAGGAGTCAAAACGACCTGCGATTTGACGACCTACGAACCCGAAGACACCGACACCGACATCCCTTTCCAGCGCGACGGCATAGTAATGAAAATCATCATGCGTTCCGCATGGCTACACAACGCCATCACGGAGCTCGGCGCAACCGACCCCACTGTCCTCAAACTCTCGGCTTCGGCGACACGAGAACCCTTTTTCGCTTTGTCAGGCTCCGGCGGTCCCCTCAGCGAATCGACGGTTGAATTCTCGATTGAACAGCAGAACCAAAACAATGGCCCGTCTCAAACCCATAAGGTACTCACTGATGATGGCTCGCGAGCGCGGGCGAAGAGGGCCAAACTCGCACCTACCGTCACCGAAACCTTTCTCGTCAGCCCGCCGTCGTCCATGGGAACTCGCATCAACCAGAATTATCGTTTCTCCATGATTCAAAAGGCAGCCCGCGCTATGGCAGTCGCCAATAAAGTGAGTATCCGAGGTGATAGACAGGGCGTTTTAAGTCTTCAGTTCATGATTGAGTTCGACAACAACGGGCATGGTGGCGCAACTGGTGGCGTGCGGTCTTCGGGAGCAAGTACTGGGGGCACCGTCACTTTCGTGGACTTTCGTTTTGTACCATTACTCGATGAGGATGATGTTGATCTAGAAATGGATTAGGGGGTAATGCTTCGAGTTCGGCGTATGTCTGGTCGAAGTTGGAAAAAACGTTGATTCACAGTAAAGACATCAATAGAAATTCCCAATTGCTTAAAACTATTTCCCCTTCCCCAACGCCAGCACAAATGCGATATGGAACCTAAGATCACCTGGTTCAGCTAATAATATACAGTGAAAGCAAACAATTACCAATGCATGTCACCTGGTCCATGCGCTGGTCATCTTCCCTTGTTCAACCATAAAGTTGGAGTCGCTTTGTAGCACGAAGGAATCGTACGGGTTTAGGAAATAGATTACATGACCTACAGCTCATTAGTATATAAGCGATTATGCTAGCAACGCAGATAATCATAACTCACCTCTGCAATGGACTGTCTCTCGATAATCGACTTCTGTTTCTCATTGCGGGAGACCCGGTAATAGTAATCACTGAAGTCGCCGCATTGCATATGCCGCAGGAACTCCTCATCGTGAGTAATCACAATAAGTTGAAAGTTTGCCTGCTGCTGACGCGCCCGGATGATGTCGTGCAGGGACTCAGCAAGAGAGCGAATATTGTCCCGGTCGAGGTTGGTCGTCGGTTCATCGAGTGCGATCAGGCCGCAGTTGACGCCGAAACACTCTGCCAGGGCCAACCGAATGATTATACTCGCGAGCACTTTCTGTCCTGCACTGCAGCGTCCTCGCATGTCCATCTCTGCGCCCGATTTGACCATGCAGACGCGGTAGTTGTAGGATCGGTTTCCTTTTGCATTTTCGTTGTCGGAGCGGATGAGGATCGTGTCAACGTCCGTGCCTCTGTATGTCTTTTGCCAGAGCTCTCCAATGATTGCATTGATCTCCTCCATCTTCAAGGAATGATACTTCATGATGGCTTTGTCCAAAGCACCCCCGTACCGAGCTAAATCATCAACAGCAGCCTTAGTAGTTTCCACCTTGATGTGCGCTTCCTTGTACTTGGAAGCGGCGTCTTTGTAGTCCGTGTTCCAATCCGCCAGAAGCTGCATCAGTTGATCATCCTTAGACTTCATTTCTCCCATCTTGCTCGCTTGCTTGGCAGCAAGCGCGTTGTGCTCGCGGGTTCGGCGCTCTGATTCCTCCTTAAAGCGGCTTCGGTCCACCTCTGCGTTCTGAGCTGCCAAATTCTCAATTTCTGCGGACACCTCTGCCAGCGCTCGAGTTGCCTGGCGGTATGTCAGGTTGTCGGAGTATTGGCGTTTCGTGTTCTCGCTGTCTTTGAGCTGTGCCGAGATCTTATTGATCTCTTTGGTAATATTGGCCTGTTCCGCTTCAAGCTGGCTGATTTCAGTCTCAATCGTTTGAAGCTCGCGTCTACTACGCTCCAACTGACTCGGCCCGCCTCGTTCGTTGTAAGAATCAATCTCCTCCGTCGCCAGATCCAATTGGCGTATATTTTCCGACAGTTGAGATATTACTTGCTGCATCTCCCTCTCTCGGGCCTCGACCCGCTGGCTGATATCGTCATATTGAGCTTGATATTTGAGGAGCTCCGGTGTCAGCTCCTCAATGTCTCTGTCAGCCTTTGCGATTGCCTCCCGTTGCTGGTTGTTAAGGTTCCTATATTCCTCAATGCGAGCAAGCAAATCTGACTTTCTCTCTAGTTGGAACTTCGCATTGTCAAGCTTGCTTCTAGCATCTCGGAGCTGCAACTCCAAGTTATTCATTTCAGTCCGTGCCTGCTCTCTATCATTTGTAAGCTTGGACAGGGTCTTTTTCAGAGCTCTAGACTTCTCGCCAATGCCGGCAATCTCCTCTTGGATATCTTCCAGAGTACGTGTAGCAGTATTGTCCTGTTGATTGGCGGACAGATCCTGTATCTGGGACCGGATGGTCTTGATTTCGCTCTCGTATCGCACGATAGTATTGACGGTTTTCGATAAAGCCTCAACGTCTCTCTTCTTCTCAGCCTTCTCGCTGACGATCTTGTCATGTTTCTCTAACTGGTCCAGGAGCTCATCCCGCTGATGAACATACTGGTCTTCTTCTTTCTCTAGATCCGGAATCTCGGTTTTGGAGAGGCGAGTCCACGTATCGTAAGCTGTACTTACTGCACGGGCCGCGTCGAGTTCGGCTTCAAATCTTTCAACATCTTCTTCCTCCACACCGATCTGCGCTTTTTTCACCAATCCCTCTAGTCGTTTCTGGAAGACGGTGAATTCTGCGTCGGCCCTGAACGCTCGTTGGCACAGTCTACAGGCTTTTACCTGCTTGGCTGTCTCCAGACAACGCATAAAGTAGTCGCCGAGTCCGGCGCTCTGCTCGGCGTCCCTTCTAGCGACATCGAGCTGCGCTTGTCTTTGTTTGAGTGCATCGGGATACTCTTCGGGTTCCTCGTTGATGGCTTCACGAATTTCTTTTGCGCAGCTATTGAGCTCTTGCTGTCGCTGAGCCAGTGTCTTCTTGGCGGCCTTGAGTTTGAATTCGACCTGCTCCAACTCCCTGTTGACGCCGTCACGTTGGCTTTCGGCACTAGAGACGTTTCTGGTCTCCTCTTCAAGGACACGCTGAAACTCTTGCTCTAAAGTAGCTGGACTCCAATTTGCACCAATGTACTTTGCAAGGCGTTCGCCATGTGCAGCTTTCATAGTTTCCAAGCTGCGTTCTCGTTCTTTGAGTTCCTTCTTGAGATGATCTAACCGGGCAAAATCCCCGGCTCGTTTTGTGGCCGCGATCAATTCAGCATTGAGGCGAGTGCCTTCATCCTCGAGGGTGTGGAGTTCTGAGTTCACCTCCTGAATCTCTTGGTCCAGTGAAGCCGATCGAGCACGATCTTTGGAGTCGTCCAGACGAGATGAAATGTCCTCAATGTTTGCTTCAAGTGCAGCTTGGACGCCCTCATCAACGTCAATTTCGTTGAGCTTCGCTTGATAATTGGAGGCCTCCTTGTCATTTGCAGCAAGCTGACGCTTGGCCGCATTCTTACTTTCCTGCAATGCAGACTTCCGCTGTCCGATCTCATTCAGAGTAGACTGTACTTCGCGTAGCTCAGTTTGGGTCTCACGCTTAACGCGCTCCAGCGCTTGGTTTTGCTCCTTCAACAGCTTACGAATCTTTCGCATGAAGTCGTCAATATCTGATTGATCCTGGATATTATCAAAGCCTCGGATGTTATGGCTGCGAGCAATCTCCCTTGTCATCCTCTGTCTTCTTTCTACCTGGCGCTCGAAGTTGGCTTTGTCATTTTCGTATTTTCCGTATTCGGCTTGTTTGACTCCCAACTTCTGACGGGCTTGCTCAATCCGGTCCTTGATCTCCATATAATTCTCCTTTTGAGCTTCCTCTTGCTGTTGGTATTGAAGTTGTCTGGACTCAAACTGCTCTAGATTCGATTGCAGCCACTCATCCGAATCATCAAGCTCAACAAGGTGCCTTTTGAGGTTGTCAATTGTCGATTGCAAGCTCTTTGCCTCGATACGCTTTCCTTCCAAAGTCCCTAAAACCTGAGCATAGCTTTCAGACTCTTTCCAAGCTTTGTCGGCGAGTTCCGCAACACGGCGCATCTCTTGGGAGAGCTGATGGGTTTCAGCGCGGAGCGCCTCAATCTCGTCCTGTAGCTTGATGGATCTTTTCTCTGCACGATCAGCTTTTTCCTTGTCTTCTTTGGCATGCTGTTCCATGATTTTGTATTTTGCCAGCTCCTCATTCTGCTTCTTACGGAGGGCTTTGATATTGTCAATGGCTTTCGTATATTTCATAGCTTCGAAGATCTCATCAAATCTCTTCTTGAGCACCGATGGTTCGCTCATGGGCCAGAGACTCTCATCCTGGTGGCAGAAAATGACGGAATCTAAAACAGCTCTCGAAACGCCAAGATACTGAGGCATGATTTGGTCCAGCTCTGCCACTCGGGATGAAATAGCCGTTCTTTCACCATCCTTGACCATGAGAAGCTGTCCCTCGAGGGTTTTTTGTTGCCTAGTGGTTTTCTTCACTGTAAGTTGAAGACTCCGTGTAGCAACCATCTTCGCTCCAGATGTACTCTTGAAGGATAATTTCACTTGGGCTAGGACTTCTTTCTCTCCGCATAGCTGCGCAATAATTTAGTAACATTGTTGTAATAGGAGAGAGTTCCAATGTTACCTTGGGGTCATGGATGAAAGCACCGCCCTTACTGTTGGGTGGAAGATCACCGGTCGTAGCATATTTGAGGCATTCAATGATTGTCTGTATTCCCCCTTAGCATGAGTGATGCTCATAAGCCGTCCGCTTGTTGAAGCCCCTACCGTCTTCCCTGAGCCATTATAGCCGACGATCAATGTAAGAGGTGTGTGAAATTGGATGGTCTCACTGCGGGTGTTGTCGAATGAACGAACACTGAGAAAGAATCACGAGTCAGTATACAAATCAAAAATCTTGAGCGTATCCTTCTGTAGGAATGTACGCACCCAAGGATTGATAGCTTGTCTATCTTCGCTATAGTTGGAGCAAAGCGTCAGTCTTGTGCTTCGTCATCGAGCTCCGCATCACTTACACCTGCCAAGCTTATCAGTTTTCCATGTTATTTTGTTCTGAAGCACGCAGACTCACATTTTGAAATCAAGCACTACAGTGCTACCCACCAGACTCTAAAGGTCTTCAAAGGATGTCAAGCCACTATCCGCCCCAACACTGTGGGTGCATCCCAAGCCTAATCGAAGCTCATCAATATCGCCGCTTCTGCCTGCGCGTCAGAAACGCGGAAAGGAAGCGCGAAGTCACGTGATATACACAAATGGCTTTATGAGCTTGAAAGAGACATTAGTATGTTGCAAGTTTACCTTTATTATTCTCTGCAAGATAGCCTGCTCATGATGAATGATCTGTTTGCTTTGGGGCTACGGATGACTAGCTTGTACGGCGCCTGAGATGTGCTGAGCTGCGTCAAGGTATGGAGTTTATCAATGAGCCATTTGAGAACCCATTGCTCAGATCCTCCTTTCAAGCCTGTAGGCTTTTCAGAGTCGTCGATCAAGCTCTACCGGGATGTAAGATGACTTGAGGGGTACCATTCGCACAGTCTTCGTTCTCAGTGTTGAACGACCTTGTCGCCCAGAAGAAATGGGATCTGAACTTCTAAGAGATCGTGAGCGGCTTTTACAACACATGGAAAGGTTTTAACTGAATGGGCAATATTTCACCATCATCAAAGAAGGGAAGATGGAACAGTATATTGCTCTCGACGTCCAGCTAAACTGCCACAGAGATCCCGTCTAGGTAATCCTGCCGTCGCCCACTTAGAGTTAACTAATATCAAAGAAAACAAAGTTTCAAGAAGTCATGGCTTCTGTAAGTTCGCTGTGCTTCATCTTGTCTGCCTTTCTAGTTATCTATTATAGCCGAACAAACGCAGCTTCTTCCTTTATCTCGCCTATCGAGAGTCTTGCCAGTCATCTGTTTCGCCTCTCCCCACAGAAATACCTATAGAATTAGAGCACACCTGGATGTACATTGCCCAGAATATCAACCACTCTCTCCGTTCTCAAAGAGTTCGAGGACTCGTTCATTCAGACGGTAAAAGTTTCTATGCCAGCGAGAGCAGGGCCGCAGGGAGTTACGGGTTAAAATGCGGCCGTATACAGCGTCAACAGCGGTCATTTTCGGCGTTGATCTCACAGGTCCTCACATCCATATGGCATTCCTTCGTCCTTTTCTGTGCATATCTTTTCCGCCTTTGAACGATCAGATTTCGCGAGTCTCTTTACATTATCGGCACCTGTATCATCAGGACTCTCGCTCAATGTATTAAATCGTTTATAGTGACAGTCATTTCGCCATTCCTGGTTCCGCGCGACCATGGAATTCGCCCCTCCGGAGGCGGACACGGTGAGATCAAACAAGACATACGCATTGCAGCACGAGAGAGATACTCGAGATACGATGGATGTGCAAGCAGTTCCAGTGTCAATTTCTAGCAATGAAAGCAGCAACGATTATTCGAATGCCATCCCTCAAGATGCCGAACCGCAGCCGTCTCTCGATGCGACAACAGAAAAGGTTTGGGTGCAGCGTGCTCTCGCCGAAATGACAGACATGCTCCTCCTCCTTCGTCCCGATGGCACAGTCCTCTACGCTTCGCCGTCCTGCAAGTGGATTACCGGATACGAGTCGAAGCAGATCGAACGTGATGCTCTGTCCCGCTTCATTCACGATGACGACAAGTCCGTCTTGAACCGTCAACTCGAAGAGTGCATCACCACGGCCCGTCCGCTCCGGTGCCATTTCCGCTTCTACAAGCCGAATAATACCTTCTGCGTCATAGAAGCGCACGGTCATCCACATGTCAAAGACGAGAATAATACTTGCAACGGTGTTTTCCTGGTCTGCCGGCCGTATCCCACCAGGAGCTCGGCGCTACTCGATTCCTTTCTCGAACACAAGATCGAGAATATCCGGCTAAATCAGCGCATCTCACAACTCAGAGCGGAAGAGGAGGAAGACTTAAATTCAGGTCGACAGGCATGCCTCAAGCAAAGCTCGGGATCATCTGCCCTGCGCCAGAACTTGCCTCCGTTCACGTCTTACGATGCGACCGGCTCAGGTGAGGAGAACGAGTCGTCCGATACGGTCAACACCGATGATGGAGAACCGGGGTCGCTTCTTGAAAGCACTACGCGACAGGCACAAGATCTGGCCCACATCGACGGAATTGAGATGATGACAGGACTGCGCTACCGTGAGGGCGAGCGGTCTCATGGCCTCAGCACGGGCATGCGCCAAGGCTGTCTCGTCCATTGCGATATTGATATAGCCACGATTGAGCAGCAAGCTCGGAGCGCACAGGAGATCGACCGAAGGAAGAGATTGAAGGGAGAGTATCTGTGTACCGACTGCGGGACCTCTGATTCCCCCGAATGGAGAAAGGGACCGGACGGACCAAAGACCTTGTGTAATGCCTGTGGATGTAAGTTGCTTCCCTAAACCTACTCTTGTTGTTACTCGACTGAGACTGACTGCTGTCTTCAATAGTACGTTGGGCTAAGAAAGAGAAGAAACGTCAGGAATCAAATTGATTATCAACCCTGGACAATATCGGCGCGTATCATCGAGTTTTTGTACTCTTTTTCTGCGAAGAGATACCCTTGCGTTTCTTTCACCGATTAGCATATGCGGCAAACCTGATCGCCCTCTCGTTGGCTTCGAGACATATATCAGCCTTACTCCCCTATGTGACTGGTGACTGGAGATAGTATGAGTCTCTCGGATTTACGGGATCATATCTCAATTTACGCTGAATGACTACGATCAACTAAACTGCAGCATCGATCCCAGTCGCAATTCTTCTTATCATCTAAGAGACGAGGACGACGCCTTCTCAATGGCACATCGATGGCTCGCAACCAGCTGAATCAACAGAACTTTGATCGAAAGGATGAACAGACATAGGGGAATAGAGCAGCAATCAACAAATCTAGCGAAGTTTCACACTCAATAACGGTCGCACACATCCTATACACACTTCAACACGATCGAAAATGCGCCCTCACGTTTTGGCGGCCTTCTTGGGAGGCGGAGGGAAATACATCTGAGGCTGAGGCTGGGTCGTTGCTCCAGCGTGGGCATGTTGCCCTGATGCGAAAGTGTCCGCCGACGACTCCTGCTGCATCGAGTGGCGGGGATTCGAACCACCGAAATATTCACGAAGAGGTAGGTCGGTTGAATTGTCTCCTCCTAATCGGTTGAAGGCAAGGCTACGGGGTGTCATAGCAGGCATGCCCTCTCGTGGATAAGCTGGGCTCATCGGAATCACCACGGGAGTCTTGAGAACGGCTTCTTCATATTCCTTCCAGGTTCTCTTCTCTTCGGCCTTCTCTAATCGTTCCGCGCGCTCTTCCGGAGTCATGACGCAGGAATGGACACTCAGAACAAACTCGACAAAATAGAGGACGCTGTTTCTTCCGTCAATCACAGCCTTGAGAGTCGACTCGCAGGAACATGGTACTCACATGATCATTATTGTGAATGTAAACAGGGCCTTCGACTGACGACAGTAATTGATATTGTCCTTATTCGCAGCAACGGTGCACTTCTTCGTGATGTACCACGGCGCACCGGGCTGCGGGTGCGCGGGATCCGACATATCACTGCCGGCCTGGTACCGAGCTGAAACGATGTATACTGCAACAAGACCGCCGTGGATAATAACCGACAAGGGCGGATAGAACAGTCGAAGGAAGTGTACGGGGATTTTGGTGATCAGGAAAAATGTGCTTAAAACACCAAGTACTAGGTTGTAATTGGTGATGCTGTAGCCCCAGCCAGCGTCAGCGACGTTCTTCTCCAATTCCAGGATCAGACCAACAAGGACGTTGGAGAAGAGAAAGAACCAGAGCGAAAGGCAAGAGAAGAGAAAACGTACAATTCGCTCCAGACTGTAGGAACCTTGTAAGGCCGATAGTTGGCAGCCGCATACAACTGCTCATCGGGGGAACTGTTGAAGCCGTTGTCTGCGCCATCCTGCCACAGTTTCGTCCGGTACAGATTGTGAGAAGCGATTCCAGTGAGTGTAAGGATAACAATGGTAAAAGGCAGCTCGACAGCCATCAAGTACAAAAGTACTTTGTGATAGCGATGTTTCCGTGGGAAATACATGGCGACCGAAACCGAAGTCTTCGGATAACTCAGGAAACAGCCTATCTGGAAATTCAAGTATAAAAGAGCTAGACCTCGTCTTTATCGAATGTGTAGTCGAAAATAACTGTCCACTGGCGGCCAGACCGGCTGGCTGGGCGTTCAGTTCACTCGCATTGAAGGAACCCAAACACTCAACCAGAGGAAGAAGTCAAACAAGCAACAATCACAGAAAACGACTCGGTAGACCAGCCGGAAACACGCTTTAGATATGAACAGAACAGAAGCACCGCCAGAAGACTACAGAATACCTAGGGGTCAAATATGGCCTACGGCGCACGCTTGTCGTCCATGGTGCCCTGTAAGCAGATAGCAGACCTGAAGAGGGGCACCAACCGCAGCGACGATAAGGCAGGAAAGTCGAGGATCAAGACATGCAAAAGTTTCCTGCTGATGCATCTGGCCAATGCTGGCGGGTTTGAAAGCGCCAGCACAGGCACGAAGGCCGGGATCTATCGCCAATGAGGCTGCAGAACACGCATATTGGCCGCCCGCCATCACGCACTAGTCCGTGTGACGAGGAGATCAATCTGCATGTTTAAGCGGGCGATCCCAGTAGTAGAGCTGAGGAGCTGTACTAGAGCTAGTTGTCACCAAATCAAATCTTAGTATGCGAATGGTCAATGGCTTGTTGAAAAGCGAAGCGCCAACCGGAGGAGGATCATGGGTGTCTGTGATTGGGTATGCAGCATGGTCTAATTCGCCTTAGTATTCATTCTCGACATGCTAATTGGCATGACTAATGCAAACAAGCATTCGTACTCTCACAGTATTTCATCGCAGAAACTAAACGGATCTAACTGTGAGGACGTGCTAAAGAGAGATGGATGGAATGGTGATGGAGGATGATTCCAGTATGACACGCTGGCAAACGTCATACCACTCATCTACCATCAGAGGTGTACTCAATCTAGACTGATCATACAATGTTGTTTTAACAAAGTCTCCGAGGTTAAAGCCTAGTCTACGCGGATAATTTAAAAGATATAGATACTTGACGTCAAAACCAGTAGGTCGAACATCCGAATGCAGACTCCCCGACTATTGTGGTGCCACCGACTCCACCGTTCACCACATCCACCAAGCATCCTCGTCTCTCAGCGCGTGCCTTTTCTCGCGCGGCTTCAACCCCTGTCCGTTCACCAGTCCGTTCCGGGTACGATCCGACGCCAGATGGATTACGCATCGACTAGGAAGGCCTCCGTGCCGCATCTGGTGCGCACGGCGGCAGAGCCCCGACAGAACCGCATGTATACCGTCCGGCTCTCACATGTCGACGAGGTCAATCCTACTGTGCGGCTGATCCAACTAACAATTCCTCCTCATGTGCAGAGCCTGGAGGGGCAAGAGGAGCGAGCTGATGGAGAGGTATCCTGTCTCGCAACTGTGCCACTTTACTTGTATATAGCTAATCACCTCAGTCTGATCAACCACAACCACTCACGTTCCTACCGGGCCAGTGGGTAGACGTGCATATACCTGGGCTCGCCGACGCGGGGGGATACAGCATCACCTCCACCCCGGCAGATGCTCAGGTCCTCCCCTCGCCAGGACCTCCCGTGGAGTCTCCCATGGACGAGGAAACGGGCCTGCCTCCGATGGACCCGCGAGGCAGAGCGCCGTACGTGGAGCTAGCCGTCCAGCATGCCCCGTCCAACCCAGCCAGCGCATGGCTCTGGAGACCCAAGGACGAGATCCAGGGACAGGAACTGAGCATCCGCATCGGAGGCAGTTTCGTCTGGCCCCCATCGGGAATCAACCTCGACGAAACCAAGAAGGTTCTCTTCATTGCAGGCGGAGTGGGTATCAAGTATGCACACCCTCAAAGTCATTTGAGATTAGTAGCTAATCATCACCCAGCCCTCTCATCTCCATGCTCTCGCATCTGAACAACAACGACGAAACAGCTCTACACCACCAGCACTCCGACATTCACTTCTTCTACTCCACCAAGATCCCCCGGTCAGCTGTCCCGTCCCTCCCTGAAAAAAGCCCCCAGGCATACCTGGACCAGATCCTCTTCCTCTCGCGGCTTCGCGAAATCATTCGCTGCCAGTCAGAGTCGGGCCGTCTGCGGATCTCTTTACGGCTCTTCCTCACTAATCTCCACGCTGACTTCGCGCCACTTCTGTCGGAACCTCAGAAGGATTTGACTATTTATGCACGAAGACAGCAGCCCGATGATCTGCGGCAGGCGCTCCAGGGACCTGATGGTGTCATTAGACCTGAGGAGACGGTCTGCTATATATGTGCGCCTCCCAAGATGACTGACGAAGTTGCGAGTACTCTTCGAGGTTTGCTGGGAGATGGTAAGGAGCGGGTATTGTTCGAAAAATGGTGGTGATCAAGTGTTTTCATTCGTAAGATGTGGGAGAGTGTATTGAGGCAAGGCATGCTAGCGCTGCAACAATCACAAATGTTCTAGATGAATGCTGCTGCAGACTGAGATCCCTGGTCCTCTGCTCAATGATGAGACAATTTAGACTCATGCTAACCAGCCTTCTCAACTCAATATATAAGGTACAAAGACCGCAGGAAAAAAGCGCCCGAGATAGCAAGATGTAAACCATAGACAGCGTATCTATGCCGTGACATCAAGGTATGAGAGTATCGATACGCATCGCTGCGAAGTTGCTTTTGAAGCCACATGTAAAGATCACCCCCTGACGGAAGCGGCGAGTCAAGAAGAGGAAGATTGACACATGTGCAAGAACTCAGAACGCTCAATGATGTTCATCAGGTCCTTTCACTGCACCTCCGTCGATGATCATCATCTCGTCGATCTTGGCCTCTACTTCGCCGTATTCTAGTCGCTTGTACGTCACAACACGCCCGGGGTTCATGTCAAAATCATAGAAACGAACACGACGGACATAGCCACCATAACCTCCGTAGCCTCCAAAGCCAGCACCGCCTCCGTAGCACATCCAGAGAGACGGCTTCTGATCTCGATCCTTGTTAAGCATGCAGTAATCATTAACATGGTCGCTAGAGATACGTTAGCAAACTGCACACATGTCGCTCTTGAGTATCAAAAAGGGTACTTACTGCCCGCAGCTCACGAACAAAATTCCTTCCTCTTCTAGGGCATCTTTGAAACCAGAGTTGAACCCTGGTGCGGTGGGAGCCTCCGACCAATTTCCTCTATAGTAATTCGAGGAATCACGGTATTCTGGAAGCGGAATATGAATAAAAGCCATGTTCATGTGCATGTGACTGTATTCATGGTGTTTTGTTTTGAGGCTTTGCGCCGTGTTTTTGAACCACCGAATCTGGCTCGGTTTGATCCAATCGTAGCCTCGGAACTGACGTTCGTCTGGAGAGTAGGAATGAGAGTCGAGCAGGTACAGAGTCAAAGCCGAGTGCGCGGTCGTTCCACGACCGAGGACTTCGACAATATAGTTTCCCACCCCATCCACATCTTCAGGGCCGGCCGTCGACAAGGAGTAAGGGAGATCTTCAAGTATGGTCATAAGCTGTTCTCGACTAAGGTTGCCTTCGTCGTCGTGATTGCCGAATATGGCGGCGTAGGGTATCTTGCGATCGACAAGTAACTTGACAGACTTGAAGAGCGCACTCTGAGCATCTCTCGAAGTTTCACCGTTGACTTGGTCACCGCTCAGGACAACAAAATCGGGTTTCTCCTCGTCGAGGAGTCTTTCCACAAACTCCAAGGTCCGAGGATCCGCTTCACACTTGTGACCGGGCACAGGCTCTACCGGAACTGGGTCTCGACACACTCCAAGTCCAGTGCTCAGATGAAGGTCTGCTAGTTGCATGATCTTGAATTTCCCATTCTCATTAATGCGTGGAATGCGCTTCTTGGTCTTTGGCGGGTCTCCCCTTCGAATACTGATGCGGGCCTCCAACTCCTCCGTCTTGCTATCCAGGAGCAGCGGAGTATCTTTCACCTCCCAACCCACACGCGGATCAACCGCGTCCGCACCGAACAAGACATCGATCGAGGTGATCACTTTCTGCGAGTCGCTCGCATGACGCTTGGCCGTCCGCTTCAGCCAGATGCCACCTGGCCTCTGCTCCCAGTCAATAAGCCCTCCATGTGGGTCATTCGAGGACTGCGGCGTCAGTCGGCTTATCTTCAAGTCGATCACCACCTTGTCAGATGCGAGCAGTTCCTCTTCCTTCTTCCGTTGGAATTGTAGGTAAGCACTGGACGTCCACCCCAAGCGCAGATAGAGGTCCTTTTCAACTCTAGACCATGCCTTCGGGTTGACCTTGCAACTGGAAAAAAGGTTGAGAGACGAGCAAGTGACCACGGTCACATCGGTAACGACGTAGCCAGCATAATGAGTGGGAAGGTGGCCATGGATGGACGCCGGTAGCACACGGAATTTATTGTCTAGAATCACCACAAGAAGTAATGCAATTGAGGCGATGATAGCGAGCTGCACGCCCGTCCGAACCTATTATCATCGAGAACATTAGCTAGCGAAAACACAAAATAATCGACTCTCAACGAGTGATCCATACAAGCCGGCGAGTCATGTTAATGAAAGAAGCCCTTGGTGATCTTCGAGCGGATGGTAAGCAGCTGGACGCTCAAGCATGATGGGGCACACGAGGTTATAAGATGAAAGCAGGCCACACCATGGACAAGACCTGATTACCGTCAGTCCATCTCAAGGGGGCCAAATCTGGGGATGGAAGAGTTGATTGTCCGAGTCCCCGTATTTGTAGCACTAGGAAACTCGAGTCCGGAAGGCGGTCACATGTGAACTAAAGTTTATCATTACCTCTTGATTATTATTATCGGCTTTTTGAAGTCCCTTGGGCCCTCCTGGGTCTAAGCCTATTTGGGAATCCCTTGACAAAGCAAGCCTCCGATGATATCTTAGGTACTGAGACTCATCTAGTCAATCTTCTATATAAGGTAGCCATCTCTCTCTATATATGTATAGATATTATCGGAGGATATTTCCCCTTGTCTATTGAAAATCCGAAACCAGTCGAAGAAATCCAACGTCTCCCGAATCTATACAGCGGCGGTGGAATTATGTCAATTGCCTTCCTCATGCACCTTCTTCAATCCTTCTTCAGCCACTTTCTTCAATGATACCTTGCCGCTGAGAATGTCTTTTGTAGTGGCCAGGATCGTCTCCCAACTTTCGAACGTGGTGAATGGCATTCCTTCCCGCTCGCAGTAGGTCACCAGATCTGAATTGTGATCAGCCGCATACTCGAAGATCGAAGGTCCAGGGGAGGTTTGGCTTACCATGCCCCTTTTTGGCAAAAAGAAGGTCAGTCTCTGCAGCAGCAGACAGATCGGAGACGCCATCTCCAGCATAGAGCAGAGTAGGACGCTTGTCGACCGGCAATGCAGCATACGGCTTAATCTCCAAGGATTTGTCATGTCCGAAATGACTATCGAAGGCGCAAATTAGGCTCTAAAAGCAACATTCACAACCAGAGTCTTCGATATTCTCACCTGTCATCGTGGTACTTGATTTTCCAACCGCCTGCGGTGTTGATGTCCTTGCCGTCGCGGCTCTCCACGTCGTTAGAAACAATGTGCAAATGGCTTCGAGGCTTGTGTCCCAGCAATGACTCGAACAAGGCACTAATGATGGGCTTCATCCCCGACGATAAGACCACAATTGGAACGTTGTTCTCCTCGGCCCAGTAGTAGAACTCGACAAAGTGGGGGTCAAGTTTCATGTTCTCCTGAAGGATCTCGATGCACTTGTTGAAAGGCGTCTTGACGCTGTCCAACATATCGCGGAACGCATCACTGTAGAACAATCGAAGAAGTCAGCTGACGCCTTCGCTGGGGAGCAATGCCATCCACTTGCACATACCGGAAGCTAGCTCTCCCGTGGAGCACATCGTAATTCCCTTGGCGACGTTTTTCTCGTCCGTATCCGAGATTGTCGGTCTGAATATATCAGCGTGGAAAGCCAAATCGGATTTCGTGTCAGAAGTTTACCAGAAAATCATTGCCTGAGATTCAACGGTGGACAATTAGCTTCTGATAGTATAGTTCACAACCAGGTGTGCCTACTATCTGCCAATGTAATGGTCCCATCAAAATCAGTGAAGAAGATGATTTTGGGATTGGTCTTCATGTAAGGGAGTTCGGTGGAACCCATGGTGAGAATAGGTAGCCCTGAGTACGATGGAAGCCTGAATATAGATAGGAGTTATGGTAAGATTCTAGCTCAGTGATGCAGCTGATGTCAATTGAGACCCACTTGAGAGGGGAGACTAGCAAATGGCACAAATTTGCTGGTAATTGAGTGTAGGGACTGATGATTCCGAGGTTGAATCAGGATGATAAGTAGATGGCTCAATGGATTGAGAACATGAATTGAAGAAGTGAAAGAAAGATAGCGTCCCATGAATCATCCCGCGGGGGGATCAACAGTTATCTACTGCCCCGCGCATCGGTCAGAATACAACTAACCTCGATTTGATTTGACCTCTTCGCTTTTCTTGCTTCACCGTTCGCATTTAAGTACTGGTGAAAGAATTCAGCATGATAATTGGGTGACTTTTCGATGCTCTTCTGGGCCAGTTAATGTGGAGGCGCCGGATTGGGAAGATGGAAATCCCCCAGTCCCCACGCGCCCCTGTTTTGATAAGTGGACAGAGATGGAGAAGTGCCAATAGCGACAAGTCCGATAACCGTCAAAAAGTTTTTGATTCTGGCCAGCGCCAAAACCCCCTCGCAATTGAACAACGATTCTTCTCGACTTTGCACTGATTCTTCTTAATCCCTTCTTCTATCAGCAAGCAGTGTTGGATGGCTCGTCTTTTTCAATCACTGCGCCGAGCCTTGGGGCTGACTCCCTCTAAGCCCGTTCCAAAATTTTCGGGGTCAATTGACACGAATTTTTCTTATTTTAGAGGTAAAGCCCATTCAGATAGGCAATACCTCTTGTGCCTGTGTATGCTGATAAATGTCATGTTAGAGGGGGACAGAGTTGTTGTTCATGGCAAAACTCCATCCTTAACAAAGCCCCTTCGAAGAGGGCAGAAGACCGATGTGCGACGAGGAGTACTGGAACATGATAGCATCATCGGCCAGCGAGTACGAGATCTTGTCAAGGCACATAAGGGTAGGTCAATTGAGACTCTTGACCACCAGGAATATATAACTAATTGCCCGTCGCAATGCAGGCCCTGACTACCGACTCAGCCTTCCGACCCTCGACGAATATGTTTCCATGACCCCCCGTCTCGTCACACCAGTATGAGATCAATCGCCATTGCTCTCTAGTCCAAACTCCTACTCACCGACGTCCCAGTAGATCTATTCCGCCGATGCGAACTTGATTGTCTCCCTTCTCGATATCCACGTCACTCCCACAGCAGAAGGATCCCAGGAACAGCCACCGTTGGAGATTCTCGAGTCTGGCACGGGTCATGGCTCCCTCACTCTACACCTCGCGCGCGCGATTCAAGCAGCCAACTCAGTTCCACCTCCTCTCCCACAGAAATCGCAGGTTCAATACCTCCAAGGCCGACCGATCCGGCCGGGAACCGACGCGGAAAAGGCAGACCCCAAATCAACCAGCACCACCGCCCAAGAGCCACCAGACGAATCCGTCGAGCAGCAAACTCAGCAACAACAATGGGACACCTGGCGCGCCCACCGACGAGCCATCATCCACACCGTAGACGTCTCCCCCAAGTTCTCCGCCCACGCCGAGAAGATCGTCCGCGGGTTCCGCCGCGGAATCTACGCCGGCAATGTCGACTTTTACGTCGGCCACGTGGAGAACTGGATCGCAGAGCAGAAGAAGGCTCGCGCTTCGAGATCCCTCCTCTCGAGCGGCCCCACAGTCGAGCCATTTCTCTCCTACGCTATCCTCGACATGCCCTCCGCGCACCTGCGCATCCCGTACGTCGCCCCCATCCTGAAACGAGACGGCATCCTTGTCGTGTTCATGCCGAGCGTGACCCAGGTCGGCGACTGCGTGGATCTCATCCGACGGCAAAAGCTACCCTTCATCCTTGAAAAGGTTGTGGAGCTCGGCTCTGGTATCAGCAGTGGTCGGCTCTGGGATGTGCGGTTTGCCGTGAAGAAGTCGCGTGCGGACCCGTCCTCGTGGACGGAGGCCGCGGACTCGGTGGAGACCGAGGAAGACTCTTCTGACGCCGGTGTAGAAAGTGCACCTGCTGCTCCTGAAGAAGCTGCAAAGCCAGAGGAGAGCGTGCTGGTCTGCCGACCTAAGGTCGGGACCAGGATCGTGGGTGGAGGTTTCGTCGGCGTATGGAGAAGAATAGAAGATTCGGCGAAGGAGTAGCCTGTTTTACCTGTTTCCTGGATGAGGAACATGTCAGGATACCCATTTGTGACAGATATTGCATTGCATCGCCCTTACCCTCCTGCACTGTACAATACACACTAGGCTAGAATGTATACTATCTTCATTCCTTACTTGTTTCTAGGCCTTAGGCGGTACGACATCGCAACTCATTCAGGGGATCTCACTTATCGCTACAATCATACCAGCGTAATTCTAACAGCAGCAGGCCGGTCCTCTCCCTTCGAGAGGCCACGGCGTTTATTCATGAATGAAGTAGCGAATCACGAAAGACGTACACGGCAACGATAAACCCCATTCGCCTAGATTGAGAAGATGAAAAGACAGAGCGAGGTTCTCCTGCTACCTCAAGCCGCGTTCGCTGCCTATGGTGTCGATCGTGACAAGGCACGGCTGAGTTGACACGGAAGCAGCACTCAAGAAGACACCAAAGACGCAGAAGATCCAGGAGGATAAAAGGGATGCCGCGCAATTGACTAATTTCCAAGAACATGACAAGCGAGTTCAATTGAGCAAGTGCCCTCGGATGACAGCAAAAGCAAGGAATGTAACCACACGAAATGTAGAAAACGACAGAGCAAAGCAAATAACAACACCAGAGATACACGAGAGGACCCCAAAGTTTCCGAAAGAACAAGACAAACCGGCTACACAAACACCAGTCTCATGACGTTCAACATGCTCCATTCCCTCAATTCCGTTGCGGCCCAAAGTCCGCCTCCACAACCTTACCCTTTTTCCCTTTAACTGTAAACTCCGCCAGCAATGCGATATGATCACTTGGAAAATGATAATTGGGGAATCCGGGCACCCTCTGTAGATAGTCCTTGTCCACCTCTCCGAGTAACGCCGAAACATGAAGCGAGTTTGAGGAATACCAGATATAATCAAGGATATCTTTGAAGTCTGGCGTGTAGTTTGTGAAGGGAAGTTCGCCAATAGCTCCATATGCGGACTTGAGCTTGAAAGGATGTGTCATACCGACTTTGCTGAGATTGCCGTAAAGACGCTTCTCCAAATCCGGGTGCTCCTCGTCGAGCCGACCATGCGCAATCAGATTGTATGCTGCGGACCCCGGGGCCGAGTTCAAATCTCCACACATCAGGAGAGGGATCTGATCGCCACTGGCATACTGCATGGATGGCGCCGGTTCCTCCAGGGGTGGCGTTTCTGATTGGCCCTCCTCTTTGGAGAATCGGAAAGCCGCCTTGTCAGTGCACGGGGGCCATTTGGCATACGTCTCCGACAGCTTGGTGAGTTCTTCCATCAGAATAGCCGTCTGTATCAGTTTGACATCCTTGAACGCTGGGTCCCAGTAGAGGTGGGCATTCACGACAATGAAACGCGAACCGGTTTGCCTGTTTTCAAGGAATATGACAACTGCAATATGATCCTTCTGCCATAGTCGGTTATAGATGTCGTCTTGACCTTTCGCATCTGGGCGCCTCACGGCTGTCTGGCCAAAATTGATCAGCTGTTTGTCGAGAAGGATGAACTTGCTGCCCTTAAAGAAGGTGGCACATCCATCCACACATTTGGCGTCCTCTTCCTGCATTCCCATAGCCCTTCCTCGTGGCCAGTAAACACCCTTGTAATCACTGTAAGCCAGCTGTTCTCGGAAATATCCATTATAGCTTCCTTGGTCGATTTCTTGAAGACAAATGATATCCGAATCATGAGACCTGAGCTCGTTCAAGATGAGCTCCCTTCTAAACTCCCAGGACAGAACGCGAGCTGGAGCGTAGCCGTAGTGTGACTGAGTCGCGGAGGAATCACAGAGTGTATTGTATGACAAGACAGTGACTTTGTCAGTACGATGGTTCGAGGAGCTGGCGGTTTCGTCGAGGACAATCCAATCCCGGTCCGGGGGTGGGAGGTGAACTGCCATCAGTGTCAGTATGTCTGTGCAAGAAAGAATGCTTAAAAATATTTGCAATTCTACTAACCCGGCATCTCTTCCTTGAGATATTTGATCAAAGCCTTGGTACCCTCTTTCATGATGTGAGACTTCAAGACATCATTCAGTGGGTTGCCCTCAACACCGAGTGTTTCCAGCCTGTAAAGGTAGCCCATCTCGTAAGGAAGTGTGCGGATATTGTTGTCGAACAGGTAGAGCTTCTTCAGATTCGTGAGCATGCCGATCTCCTCTGGAAGCTCAGTGAGGTCGTTCCCTGACAAGTCCAAGTGATTTAATTTTCGAAGTTGCCCGATGGTCGGTGGGAGGGCTTTCAGCTTGTTATGATTCAGATACAATTTCTCCAGGAAAACATAGTTGAACAGGGACGTGGACAGAGCGCGCAGTCCCTGTCCGCCGAAATCCAAGGCGTGCCAACCTTGCCGTGAAGACGCCTTGGCCTTGACCACCCCGTTCTGCCCGTCGGGAACTTGTTCTTGGGTCTCCGGTTGGCTAGGGGCAATCTGGATGCCCTTGGCTTGTTGCGCGACAGAACGGGCATGATAGTGGGGAGAGCTAGCCTGCCGTGATTCCGCGGCCAACTGAAGTTGTTGCTGCCAGTGCTCATTCATCGATTCGTCAATATCTTCGTCAATATTAGTGTGAGCCCCATTTTGTATGTGGCTCGGGGTAAAGTGGGGAGTCGCGGAAGCCAATGCCCCGCTCGAGAAGTTGTGTTGGTGGTTGATGTTGTGTGAAGCTTGATTGTGGTGCGTGTGGTGATGAGGTTGCTGCGTATGATGCGGGTGATGACTCTGCGACTGAAACTTCGGAATCTGCATGCCAAACCGCTGATGGGCTTGGCCGCCATTCATCATGACATGCTGCCCTTGATGAGTTTGGCTGTACATGTTGAATGGATTGA